TCTTGTCATTGTGAATACTGAACAAAGCTGGCATGATACGAGTCTCCTTCAGACCATGAGCTTCAAACCTTCTACGAAGTTTCTACCACAAGCCCCGTCCTGCGTCACGCGTGCCATGGGCACGCACACGCGCGATCAGCGCCCCACCATCCGGCACTCCTTCGAGTCCGTCGGGCGGCGGCTTGAGCCCGGCAGCCCATGATACCATCAACCCTAGCCCTTCAAGCTCTCACGTTGTTGAATCCGCGCGGATGCCCAACGACTTTTCCAGATCTCCACGCACGACAAGTCTACTCTTGTACCGCGGTGCAACCGGACGTCCATCTGGTCTACGGAAATGTTCATTATTGTCAATCTCAATCCATTGCGTAGGTACCATGCGGCATCAATTGTCGAGGAGGTTGCGCAGTCCAACGGAATCCATAAGCACGGCGGCGCTGAACGACCGCCATTTTCCCCACTCGTCTTGTCTTGCCAGTCGTAAACCGCTTTGAACGTCCTCAGATTCCCGATGGTATACCAGATTCTTTGCACTCTTTAGCTTCTTCTTAGATTGCGGCTTATGAACGGCGCGTTCATTGTAGAGTCCAACAAGCGATCCCTGTGGCTTAACAGCGAGTGAAGCTTCTCTACGAGCTAGAAGACCCATACCCGGCCCAGAAGCGGGTTCGCTGGTTCGGGAGCTGGCTCCGAGACGGAATCGAGAACCCTTCCCGCACTACCATCGGCATTCTCGACTCTTCTCCGCATCACTCCGCTACGACTCTGTATACCGCGCGGGACGTCGTCTAGCAACGACCTCTGAAAGGGGCATTCGAGTCATCTGTGACGACCTCGACGCGGGCGGCACATGGACGAGCATTCCATCTGACAGTTCATGTTCTTCCATTTGGCGAAATGCTTCCTCTATTAACTCGGGGTCTCCTGGGATCCCCTGCAGCTCTTCTGTCGTCATAGGATGTTCTCCCACAGACTGCTATTGCGCCCGTGGTTTTGGCAGTTCACGTCGCTTGTCCACGAATGACTGCCGTTGCCCGTCTGGAGGTGCATACCTCTCAACACGACCGCCATGGTGCTTAGAGAGATATTGGTCAGCCAACGCATCCGCCGCAGTACGCGGTCGAAGCCTGTCGACAGCCACGCAGACAAGCACGCCCTCTGCGATAACCCATAAGTTCTTGCATTCAACGATACGAGAACCAGTGCTCCATTTAGCGGTAACCGCGCCGTCGGTCGGCCTCGTGCGAAAGCATGCTACATCACCAACCTGAGATTATCCAGCTAGTGGCGCTGCCTTTCGGAGAGCGGCCCTTGCCGCCCTACCCCCGACGCTGCGTTCTGCGAACGCTTTTCTGGCAGACGCCTGGATCGCAGCCCGGTGAAAAAAATCGTCGGCCCCGTCCTCTGCAACATTCGCAAGCACTAAGTCGAAAGCTTCCTCGTCGTCGAATTAATTCCATGAGACACGAGGCATCTTTCCGAGCCCCCACTGAGCAGGTGCAAATCCGCCGACTCGTGACATATTACTCTTCGTGTTGTAAACTTCTGATGCTGTAGAGATGACCTCATCGAGTCCGGAAACATTCTTGTCGAGTACCACCTTCTCGAAAATGTTCTTCCAAAGTCCACCGCGTCTTTCGGCGCGGCCTATCTGCTCGGGAGATTCGACTCCGGCGTCGCAGAGGTCGACCCCTTGACTCATAACCCCACCTGCCCATGCACACCAAGTGTTGCTAATGTGCAAAGAGGCATGCTCGCGAAGACGGCGTAATGTTCGCAAGATTCACATCGATAATTCTCGGCGGCTTCAATGTAGTCCGATGACGTCCTGGAGATCGTCAACAACTTCACGAGAACACGATTAGGCATATGGCCGAACTGTCTGTGCGGTCGTCGAATGGCGATCCTTGCGCGGAGCTGGATCTGCAACCACGCTGCCCTTCTCTTTCCGTCGCGTTTCGGCTCGCCAGGTAGCGACGTCGCCATCACCAATGATCGCGCCCACGTCGCCTCAAACTCTCTCCTCTTCGGCTTCAGCGGGGAAAACTACAAGTGCAAGTATATCTGGTCTAACTGTCTGACCTCGCTCTCTGAGGAACTCCAGGAATACCTGACTCGCGATGTCCGCGTCTGACTCGACGCGCGAGTTCAGCGCGCTAATAACCTCAAGGCTTGAGCAACCAGGCTCATAACCGAGCGCAACAGTTACAGGACCATGATCTTGAGCCAAACCAGAGAGACACAATCACTGATCACATGGTGCTTTGATGGCGGTGCGCAGGCAACAACGAGATCAGGATTGCGCTCGACGATGTCTTTCGCCACCGAAGGCTCCAAATCTGGACGCACCACCGTGTCGCTCGAGACTGGGCAGGCGAACGCGATTCCGATGACGCAGAGCAGCACCCGGCCAGGTCGGCCCCCACTCGTCCGCGAAGCGGATCGGTGCTCCCGATCACCTTCTCGACGATCTCCTCGTCGGTAGCAGACATGCCCAGCGCGGACAGCTCGGCAACACGCATGTAGCAACTCATCTTGTATACTGATGTTACACAATTCAGTACAATAGTTGGCACAGCTTTTAGCATTCATGGTCGTCATCTCGTGCTGGTCCAGCTGCAATGGCGTGCACAAATACGATGTTCCGTCAACGCGGATCCTCGGAGGCTGTACAAAGATTGCCACTCGATCGAACTCCTCAGCGTCCACAGAACAACTCATGGCAACACGATCTTCTATACGCTTCCAAGTTTGGGTGTCCTTGGAGCGACTCATGCAACTCTTCTTCCAAGAAGACCATGCCGGCGGGAACTTGATCTGAGCGTTGAACGGATCAATTTTGAAGCTCACACGCGCCAATTTCCCGGCGCCCTGCTCTCCCGCGCGGCCCTTCGACCCCTCTGATGGGAACGATCGAGGATCAACGCACGCGATGAAGCCCCTCTTCTTGCCGCGCTCGAAAAAAAGAGAATCCAGCTGGGCCGCGCCAACTGCAAGCGGCTCGAAGTCCACGACTGGATCTCCGGCCCGCTCGCCACCCACCGTGGCCAGGTCCCTCTCGACAGGAGAAGTCGGGGATCCTGAACGAGACGCGCAAGTCTTGCTCGATTCGTCGTCGCTGCTGGCGGCAACAGCACTCGCCGGAGGCGGCGGTGGCGGCGGCGGCGGCCCCACCCTGCGCGGCGGCTCCAGTGGCGGAGGCGGCAGAGGAGCTCTGCGAACGCGCGCAGGCGGCGCCCCGTCTGGCTGCCTCGGCGCGAGGCAAGCGGGCTTGTGCTTTGGCGGAGGCATCGTAGGAAGCACCCCAGGAGGGCGCACGATCGTGCCCAGAGGCACAGGTTCGCCTGGTGGCAGACCCGTCAACTTGCCGGCGCTGCCCATGCGAGCCTTCTTCTTCGGCGCGTCGTCGTCATCGCTCTGCGAATCAAGCACCTGACTTCGAAGGGGGCGACGCAGCGACAGGAGGCGACGCTTCGACGGGCGGTGGCGAAGCAGCAGCAGCAGGAATACTACCACCATGAGACTTGGGCAATACACCGGTTTCTGCATACTCACGAGCATAACGTACAAGTCGCATATAATATGCAGGCGGCCTCTTGTCCTCGTGGCAGGTATTCAAATAGAATTGCAGCTCACGCCCAACACTTCGCCTCATCATGGCCGCGAATTCTGCCTCAATATAGTCAGCGCCGAGACGTTCACGCCAGATCGTTTTGATGTGTTCACGGATGACAGCGGCCACGTCATTATCATCTACTCCGTCAACCACACTCGATGGAGCGCGAGATCCCCCCCCCCCTCCTGGCCAGCTCAGCCCCGTCACGGGGTCTGCGCCTCGCAGACGGCTCAGGAACTGGAGGCGGCGGTGCACTGAATTTCTCGAAGGATTCAGTGAGGAGCGAAACCATCTTGTCAGCCGCAGAATTCGCCATCTCACGGGCCCAATCGGACATGTGGCAGCAATCATCGCATCCTCTGTAATAAATACGTTTGGGCCACTCATGTCGACTCAGGCGTGCAGAACTGCATTTAATGCCGTACTGCTTCAAGAACTGTTTAACACCATAACAGACAGCAACAGAGCGATGCCGACCAGAACGACAGACGGCAACAATGCACACAAACTGTGAAGACGCTTTCTTCGCCAAAGATCTTCCCACAGACTCAGCGACGCCAACAAAATGATCACTCTTAACTGAATTGCGTACAATTTTCGGGCGATGACCGATATAGCGCGCGTGAGTCGGGTCGTTCAGAGCCCTGGTGTCCATCAGAACATACCGATCATTGTTCGCCATGTTCTCATCTGCAGCAACGAGCGCATCTATGACGGCATTGCCGTCGCGCCCCCTGGTAGTCAGAAGTACTCCTTCAGCATCGTCGACCCCGAGCACCTCGGGTTGTCCTCTTTTTTTTTATTTGCTCGCGGGTGATCGTCTGCCGAACACTCCTGCCCGCGGCGCCGAAACGACGAGCGAGGGGCCCGAAGGAAGGGCCGAAAGAGACGAGGGACGGACCCCAGGAACCCAGACAGAGCCGAGCGAGGGACCCGACCGAACACACAGGGACAACGAAAAATCGAGGGCCCGAAACAGAGTGCAACGAGTGTTAACTTAATTAACACTCCTTAAATCAAGCGGGGCGGTACTAGAGAGAGAATCTCAAGACAGCCTCCGCATCGCATCCACCACCTCAGACAGCCCGCTTCCCGCGGTTGACACGTAGAGCGGGCCGATCAAGATGGTCATCATCGTCTGGTGGCCGGAACGAGTTCGGCGGGAAGTGGAACGGCGCCTGAGCAGCATGTGCTCTGAGCCAGGCACGTGCCACGGCATCCCGAGCATTCCACCAATCAGCACCAGGAACGACGGCGCGAGGTCGACGATGCACACGAACAGCTTGACCAGGTGCTCTGAGCCAGACGTGCGCCACGGCATCACGAGCACTCCACCAAGCAGCACCAGGAACAACGACGTGAGTAGAAGGGCCAGACTCGGCCGTCACAGCCTCCTTCTGGAAGTCGACGTCGAGACGAAAGCGCACAGGTACAGCAGGCACAGCTTGAAGACCAGCAGGCTCTCGATGAGGAAAGAGTTTCCCAGGATCTCGTGGACCAGCAGGCTCTCGAAGACCAGCAGGCTCACGAAGATCAGCAGGCCCTCGATGAGGAGGAACATCGTGAAGACCAGCAGGCTCTCGATGAGCAGCAGGAACATCATGAAGACCAGCGGGATCTCCACGAAAGTTGCATTCAGGAGGATCCAAATGACCAGGAAGTTCGAAACGACACGGCTCAGGAAGGTCGCCAGCAGGAACAGCTTGAAGATCATAAGGTTCTCGGCGAGCAGCGAGTTTTACAGGCTCCAGACCAGCAGGCACTCGAAGACCAGCAGGCTCTCGACGACCAGCAGGCTCTCGAGGAGCAGGGACATCAGGAGCGCCACCATGATGTAAATCAGGAAAGTCGTCGTAGCGGCTCGCATCTGCGGCTGGCGGTGCCCAGCAACCAGGAGCGAGCTCTGCATTCACGTGAAAAGGAAGTCGGGGCTGGAAGGGATCGGCCTCGGCGTTGAGCGGAAAGGCCATCATCTTCAGCGTCGACTCGAGGACAACGGCCCGAACAGCCGCAGGCAGCGGCGGCATCCCGCTCGCGCATGGCGGCGGGGCGTGGCGGCACCAGTTGCCAGTCTCCAGGGCGTCAATGGCATCCTGGAGCTCCGCGTCGTCGAGCCCCACCAGGCGGGCCGCCGCGATCGCGGCGCCCAGCGTGGGAATGTGGCCGCCCAGGCGATCTCCAAGGCGCCGGTGGGCGTCGAGGGCGACACGGAGGCCACGCAACCGGTAGGACATAGCGGCGGCCCTCGTCTGCCCGAGCTGCGCCCTCCGTTCGCGTCGAAGGCGCCGAGCCAGGGTCCGAGCACTCGCCGCAGCCCAGGCTTTGCCGCCAGCAGTGACAGCACGAGACATTGCGGCCGCTTGCGCGCCTGCGCCTGGAGCAGGCGCGCTGGCGAGGGCCTCCCGAAGCGCGGCTCGCTTGAGCCAAAATGGCTACGGATCGGGTTGTCCTCGAAGTTCTCCATGCCCAGCGTGGCCACGGCAAACTTCGAGCCCTGCGGCGCGGGACGAGCACCAGCATCAGCAGCCACGGCAGCGACCCGCACGCCCTTCTTCGTCACTGGGGTGATCCACGGGCGCAGGCACGCCCGCGATCCCGCCGTCACTGGAGCGATCGACGGCAGCAGGCGGCGCGGCGACAGCGGGCGGCGCAGCGCGGCCGGCGAGAGCTGCGCAGCACGGCGGGTCACTGCTTGGATACGAAATGCGCAACGGACGAACGGACTCCGCAACGCGTTCCGGGCCAAACTGATCAGGACGAATGATAAGAAGACCTGAACGAGCACAACCCTACATTTCTACCTCACCTTCGCGACTCAAGAGAGCGCGACCATTAGCGAGGTCCGTCACGAAACCGAGGGAAGCCTGCGCTGGAAGAGACAACAAGAGAGGAGCACGATCCGAATCTTTAAACTGATGCGACTCGAGACACCCACGCACGGCGCCGCGAGAAGCAACGATACGAAACAATAAAATATTCTCACCTGTCGCCCCACTCCCTGCCGGCCCCCCGACACCGCTGCACGTCTTACGCTGTCTGCGTACCAATTTAAAATAGAAAACCAATTTCTCGAATTATTCCCTTGCGTTAAGAGCCCAAGCTTCACCGCGGCAACAGGAGTTACAACCCTCGCCTAAGATGGCCCAGACACCGTCGTCCTTGAAGACGCCAACCGCAAGAAACTTAGAGAGAGCCGAAACTTCTGTCGAAACGTTCTGCGCTGGGGCCATAAAACCGACGAGACTGCGAGCTGCGACATCTGCGACACAGTCGCGGGGCAAAAAAGTGAGTTCACCTGCGCTAATGTCGCCCGTGGCATCAGGCATCTCAACAGCACGTGTAGCGAAAGCCTTTCGAACAACCTTTAGTTCTACAGAGGTGATACAGCGGCCATCCTCAATAATCTACTCCATTGGTTTTGCCTGGGCGTTGCTGGAGCGTTCGGCTTTCTTAGCCGTAGCTCTCTTGTCTTCTGCTAACTTCCTGGGCTGCTCATCGATGCACGTCAGACAACGACAACAATGCGCACGGGCAAGATCTGGAATACTGCCGCGATTGTCCACGAGATCGCGCGGACACTCACCCGGGGGGCGCAGCGCCGCGCACCTCTCCTTCTTGGTCTTGCGCCCACAATCCTTGGAGGCGCGAACAATGAAACGAGCGCTAGAACCGACCCCCGAGAGATTCTCACAATCTCAAGCACAAGGATGAGGCAACGGGAAATTCGGAGGCCCCCCGCCCAGGCCAGAAGGAAAACTCGGAGAAGGCAAAACTTTGCCACTGGAAACTCTCGGCCCCGAAACTCTCAACCTGCCCGCCCTTCTTCCGACGAAAGTTGGCATCGACCCATCCTAAGAACAGAACCAGATCCTCACTTGGCTCCTTCACCTCGCGACCCCAATCCACGTAATCTGGAGCACCCCTGAGAACGCGACCACAACTAAGCCCTCTGCGCTGACGCAAACGCAGCATCCTGACCAAGAACAGAGATAAGATCCGAAACACCCCCCCCCAAAAAAAAAAAAAAAAAAAAAACTACTCCCCATCAGAAACACTAGCCATAGAGTAGGATTCGGTCGCGTGAACAGCCACGAACCCAAGAGTGCCCCCCGAGCCCCCGCAGAAAGCTGAAGATTCTTTTCCTGGAGCTCTGGAGGCCCCTGAACCGGAGCAGCTTCGGTCGCCCCAGCGCAACTCGCACCGACATGACGCTCAACGCGGCCGCGCTGCAAGCTGCGCCGCCCGTCGCCCCCCCCCCCCCCTGCCCCGCCTCGCCCCGCCCCGCGCACGCGCGCATGCCCTGCGACACATGACGCGAGAAGAGAAAGAATAACAAAAACGAGAAACACCAGGATCCACCCTCACCGACTCCTCCTTGCTCCTAATGATACGTTGAGGGATTGGTGATGACACAAAAACAGAACTAACGAGTGCGAGCTCTCGTTCGACATCGCCCCCGCGCAACTGGACATGGCGCTCGCCAGTGTCTCCAGCGTGCGCTACCATTGAGGTTCTGGGCTTGCCCTTGCATTCAGGGCCCCCAGACCAATGGCCTGTTTCGTGGCAAGTCTTGCATGTCGAGCGTTTCTTGATCTCCTGGAGTCGCTTCTTGCGATATTCCAGGGAAGGCCCCCCCTTGCCGCCTCCCCTGGGCGACCGGGGCGCGCCATGGCAACCCTTGCCCCCTCTCTTTCCTTCGCCCTTGCCCCTCCCTGTGGCGCCAAGGTCGGCGACCAATCCCTCTTGGATCGCGCCGGAAGCTTCTTCCTCCGCGCATCCGGCCTTGACCATCTCATCGGCCACCTCGACGTCGAGCTCGCTGCCATCCTGGACAGGAGCTAAGTGAGCATACGATTCCTCGTCGACGCAGGCGCGTTCGTCGGCGCAGTCGCCCCAGGCCGCGTCGCCCCAGCCGTGTTCTGGCGCATAGCCGGACGCGCAGTGCCCGTAGGGACTCTGCCCCTCAGGGTAATGCTCCTCCTGCTCGTACCATCCATCATCAGCAGTGTAGAAGGCGCGTTGTGGTCTGGAGAAGCGCATCTTGCCCCTGCCCTCGCCCCCGTTCTGGTAGCTGGGTCTGGAATGCGCCCACGACGAAGAGCTGGGGCTTTCACCAGACTCAGCCTTGCCTTTTTGGCGGATGTGTACGCGGCCGTGCGGAAGGATTAAGACGTCCTTGGTATTGTCAAATGTTGTCCCATTACCTGTGGATGTCAACACCATCAGGTTCTCCGAAGACGAGAGGCCTGCATGGCCCAAGAATAGGGAGCCAAGCAGATCGTCGCTCATCAAGATTTTGGGATCTAACTTGGAGACAAGTTTCCGCCAGCGCTTCCTTCGGGAGAAGCACGAGACCATCGACTCACCGTGCTGCCGAGACACTGGTCCATATGGTATCTGCCCCACCTGGAACAGGATCTTCGCTTCCTGCGCCTCTATGGGCAAGAGTGAACTACGAATTGCCAGTACCAGCTGATCGACCCCATTTGAAGTCAGAAGCACGTCCTTACCAATATCCATGGCAATATCTAATGCGTCACCTCTGAGGCCTTCTACAACCTTGTTGTCAGCTGCGGTAATCACGTGTTGCTGTGGTGCACCCGTCTCTTGATCCACTGAGGCCAAGGCGGCACTCATGCGCACCTCTGTGTCTGTGCGGAATTCCCACTCGTGAAAGTTGTTCACCGTGCCGTCGTAGATGTAGGGTCTCGGACCGCGACAACGCGTCGGCGCTCGGCCGATAGCGAAGAGAAGAAAATGCCATGGCGCAAGGTTCAGTCCCCTAGCGAGGGAAACTGCCAGTACATAAAGTAAAGAGAGGTAGTGCGACACTCTCTGATGAGACGTGCGCGCAGTGGTACGATACGGGGATCGTGTGGTAGCTCCGCTACCTGTGTGATTAGGCTGCGTTTTAGCGCAATTGCAAGAACGGGCCCCTAGAGGTCAAACGGCAGCGAGTGGTGCATCTACACACGTGACCCACACTATCTCACAACATGTGCATACATATGCAGATATGTATATATACACATACCTATACAAATGCATATACATATGCATGTACGTACACGTATACATATACGTAACTTAAACGACACATGTACGAATACTTATGCATATACATATAGATAAACACATATGCATACATAAACATAGACATATACACATACACATATACGAATACCTGTACATATATAGATACGTATACATAGACAGACAGCCATACATATATACCTGCATACATACATACATACATACATACATACATACATACATACATACCCTTCACTCGTCTACAGCATCACTCGTCTACAACATGAACACAGCCAAGACGCTGAAATGACGACCATTTCGGCTCAAGCGGGGCTCGGGCTGTCGGGCCGCTCTTCAGATGTAGATCGGGGAACCTGTTCGTGGCCATGGCTCGCCGCGGCCAGATTACTCCCGCAAGGCACCCTCATAGCAGCAAAGGTGAAGAAGCGGGTCGAGGAGAACGAGGTCGAGACACGGCCAAGTGCGCCTTGTCTACACGGGATCGCGGCCGTCTGGGCGGCAAATGTGGCTGGCATCAAAGCGAAAGCACGATTCCTGAATAAATTGCAAAGAAATCAAAAAAGCAAAACGACTGCTGGAGCGGGCGGTCCAGAGCTCCCGAGGCTGCCCATCCCCCCCCCGAGTGGGGCTCTTCTGTGGCCCTTTCTTGTACCACTGTGAAAACCCTCTCGCAAAACGCCAGTGCGGGGAAAACGAATCCTTTCGCTCCTCATGTGACATCCCTCATGGGAGAACGACGACATGTTCCCCTGCTTGCTCGAGCAACGAACAAGAATAAGGAGACATGCCCCGCAGGCACCTCTGCCACCCGGACTGTGATCTCCTCGATCGTTCCCCGGAAGGCGGGGCTGGTGACGACGTCCTTCAGGGGAAGGGCAGCCTCTCTCCGAAAGGAGGGGACAGACGGTCCTGGGACAGAAGCGAAGCGCAGCGAAACGAAGCGAAGCAAAGCGATTGTCAGAGTCGCGCGGGGTCCCATGGGGAGCCCGCAAGTGCCCATTAGGGCATGGCATGGAGGCGGATTCGCGTCGTAACCACCATTCAGTGCTCCAGGCGGCTCATAACCATCGCAAGCCGTTCGAGCTGTTGTGTTCGTGTTATGTTGGCCCGGTCGTTGACAGACGCGCCTGGAATGGAAGGAAGAGCGAAAGGGGAAAAAAACAAAGACTGGGAGGTGGTACGGCATGCATGCCGGCTCCAGATGAACGGTCCTTCAAAGGGACGTGGCAGCTCCAGAGGATCAGCTCCAGAGCAAGGAAAGAAAGGTGGCGTCGGGAAATGGGGGGCGGAAACAACAAATAAAACAACAACAACATCATCAACAACAACAAAACAGGAACGGGGCGGGAAAGAGGAAGTGAAAAGGGGACGGAAAGAACAAGAAACGGGAACGGAACGGGACGGGGCAAACGGGGGGATGGAAGAGAGAAAGCCGGCGGCGAGCCCCGGGGGAAGCGAGAAGGAGAAGGCCTTCTCAGAAAGCTCAGAAGTCCTCTGGCCTCTGAGAAGTCGCGCCGCCTTATGAAAAGGCATTCTCCTTGTCACTTCCCCCCCTCGCTCGCCGCCGAGAGAGGGCGAGAGAGAGGACATGTCGCATTGCGTTTATGGTCGAGGACCCGGCGCACGCCGACAGGTCGGTCGGGCAGCACAGGGGCCACTGCACGTCAAATTTTGATGCACGGCGGAAGAAGCGAAAGAGGACTTTGGGGAAGCACGTAACCCAACAGTTTCGCAACATTTCGGAACAACGGTCGGCCACACAAGCGTTTCCAAAGGTAGGGGGTTGTGCAGGTTCGCCGTACTGTAGGTGTATCCGATACCACCACGAGCGCACTGTTGCGCAACGGCTACAGGGATGGAGGGTGACTCATTTTTTACATTGGGATATCCACTACAAAAGCAAACGCCTTGATCACCAGGAGCTTGCACGGATGGAACAGGTGCACGGATGGAGGGTGGTTACCCTGATGAGGATCTCGCATGAAACTCCTCTCTACTATAACGGTCACGGTCAAAACTGTTAGGCCAACAGCCGCAAACGTGCGGAAGCGGCCACGCGCAAATCGGGCTAAAGGCGGGGCGCGCCGAAAAACATCTGGGTACAGGGGGGAGGGAGGAAGCAGAGCGAAGGACCATATATTAAAACACGTGCGTCATGTGAATTGATTGGGGGGGCGACTCCATTTCAAACATAGGTTATCGCTGAACACCCCGCTGCACCTTTGCAACTTGCCGCATCCTGCATCACCCGCTAGAAGGATGTGAGGGGGGTTCTTGTCAAAAGAGGCAATCGCCTGAATGGCAGGCCTATCGGGCGTTCACCCATCAAGGAAGCGTTTCGTGTAGTGAAGGGCGTGGATGATATCGTACATTCTCGCGCAACGAGACACTTGCCTCCGTCGGGAAACGATTGGCGAAGGTAAACACCACGCTGCCTGAGCAAGGAACGGCAGCTAGCACGGAAGTGGGTAGCGAGCAAGCTGAAGGGGGCGAGACGGGCGAGGCATAAGATGACACTTGTCAATCGCGAAACCAGCGAGGTGACTTACCCGCGTCTAACACGGGCACGACAGGCTGCAAACTGCCGTACCGGGAGCCAAACGGCAGAGGCAGAACGGAGACAATCAAGGGAGGGAGCAGGAAGGGTTAGTAGGCTACCGTTCGAGTCTGGTGCTCAAACGAGTCTACCTGCGCCCCATCGGTTACAGCACGCAAACCGCGCCGCAACCAACGAAGCCTCATAAACAGTTGCGAGGGGACGCGTTCGCCCAGTTTCGGCATGTCTCGGGGCTGTCGGACTTCAGTTCATGCCAAGGCACGTTGGCCCCCACGGCGCCAACCGCAAAAACCCTTTTATACAGAGCACGTGGCCGTGATGGAAATACCCCGACAAAAGAAGATAAGACTAGCCAGAGCAGGTCAACTCATCCCCCACCCAAAGGAAGCGAGTCACGATAGGGGCCTTCTACTGACCAGCCCCCTTAAATCATATTATATATACAAAGAAGAAGAAGAAGAAGAAGAAGAAGAAGAAAAATAATGTGAGCAGACAGCTGGAGGAGCATATTAAGATGATTAACGTGCTACACGCCAAAATCTGCTGCCTCGCGAACACAGTTCGTAGAAACAGCCCCAACATTGCTTGACTCACTACGTCGCATTTGCAAACCTGGTTCGCCTTATGCGGGCGTTCTCTCAGATGCCCCGATACTTCGCAGTCGCAAACATAATTCACGCCACGCGGCTGTCTCTGCCTCTCCCCGCGTCGCATTCGCGAGCGCAGCTCGCGACGCGCGACCGCCGATGCACCGCCCTGCAGCCGAAATACATTCAGTAGAACATCTTGTTCTAGCGGCGGGAACTGGGCACGGTTTTTCCGCGCCTCTCGTCGTTCAGTCTGACCGCGGCGTGGTCGTACTTGAGCTTCCCGCGCATCGGCCGGCACTCCATTTCATCATCGACTCGGCACTCATGTCGCGGGCATTGCACCGAGAGCACGTCGGTGATCTGCTCGGCACGGAACTGGTCGGAGAGCCACCGCAAGCGGCCTGCCACGCTGCGCCCCGAAGATGGACGCACATGATCCACGGCAGTGGCCTCGAAGACGGACATTCCTCCGTCTACGACCAGAGTTGCCAGCATGGCGCAGCCTCCTTCCTTCTCAGCCCCCTGATCTCCTCGGCTGAAACCGAGCACCGGATCATCTCGCGGAGCGCGAGGAGGTTGGCCCGCAACCCATCGGCCGCGCTGCGCGCCGCGAGTAGCTCGAAGCCGAATGAAGACCCGCACACAAATATGCGCGATAGGCCCACGGCATCGAGCAGGCGGCGGACAGCCGCGGCGGTGCTGCGACACTTGCTGATGCGCAGGTAGACGGCGCCTCGCGCCGCAACCCGCCCCCCCCCCCACACACACACACACACACACGCCCACCCACCCACCCACGCTCGAAGGGCCTGTCGCTGCGCGCGCAGATCTGGCCAGCGAGCTCCACGGCAGGAAAGGCGACGCGCGTTTTGATTTTCCGCGCGGCGAGGACCACGGAATTGAGCAACACAACTTGTTGAGGACCACGGAATTGAGCCCCTGGCCCGCTGCAGCGCCGCGGCGCATGCTGCGACGCGGCGGATGGCGATCAGGGCGCCAGCAGCTGCTCCCAGCGAGGAGGCGAAGAAGTCGGGCAGTTGACCTCCCGCGGGCCCGTCGGCCTTCGCTTCGACCAGGTCGACGTGCCCGGTCGGCATCAGGGCGCCAATGCACTCACCCTGGTCGGGCGTCGCGGCGCCAACGGGGCTGCGGCGTCAGCGGACGCCGCAGTTGACGAAGTCGTCGCAGTCCCCCTTCAATCTTGCCGAGAACGCTCTCGACGTGGCCGCCCCTTATCGACGCGCTCCTTCTGTCCAGCGATCTTCCGATCGACGGCGCGCCTGGACAGCCTAAGCACGATCTTCGAGTCGCCAGCAACACTGTTGCTGGACGCCTCATGCTCGACCTCGAGCTCTGGGCCCTACCCGGCAGGATTGGCGCCGAACTCCGGCGAGCGTGCGACCCGGGCAAGTTTCATGGAGAAGGCTCGGGGCGCGCCCTCGCAGCCCGCACCTGGCTCGACGCAACGCAGGCACTCGGCCCTGTCGTCGAGGGACTCGCAACCGGGCACCTGCCTGAGGATAGCTGCACTGCCGGGCGGAAGGACGAGGTTCACCTCGCGCGGTGCTCCACCTTGTTCCTGCATCTCGGCACACGCCATGCCCCGCAGGAATGCTTTCAAGGCGTCCACGGCGACGTTGACCCAGTCAGGGCGGCGCGCCGCCTCCGAAGGCAGCACGCGCCGCGAGGCGCGCTTGGCTGCCCCCACGAACGTCACCAGGGCGCCGGCGCCGACGCCGCGGAAGCCTCTGAGCGCAACGCGGCACCGGATGATCAGCGCGGACTTGCTGTCGGGACCCTTCCGGCGCATCCACTTGCACGCGCGTCTGGGGCCCGCGACGTTTCGGGCGCCCTTGAGCGGTCGCCACTCGAAACATGTGCACTTGACACAGATGGCGAGCTTCTCGAGGACGGCTGCGGACACGTCCTTGGACAGCCTGGAGCCCTCTTCCTTGGCCACGTCGCGGTCTTGACGGAGGCGCACGCGTCAAACACGACCATCGAGAAATCGCCGCCAACGCAGTTGCTGCACGCTTCCTCGTTGAAGCTCAGGAATGCTTGGCGCGCCCATGGGCCGACGGTCAACACCGCGCGTCTTCCTCGTTCGTCCTATTCATATGATTCCTCCTCCTCCTCCTCCTTCTCCTCCCCCCCCCCCTCCTCCCCCCCCGGCGTAGCGTCATCGTCCAGGGCGGGCGCTGCGTCTCGAGGCGCCGGGGCCACTCGCGTGGCCAGCGGACCAGACTGGCCGCGGCGCGCTCGACAGCAGCGCAGGTCATCTGCTCGCCGTCGTCACTCTTCAGCGCCTCCAACTCCAGGGCAAGGTCCCCCGCCCCCCTGACTTCATGCCACGCTGCCGACATCACCTGCTGGATGTGGCCAGAAGTCGCTGCCGGTCTCCTGAGGCATGACCGACAGTGCTGATGGAGAACCTCCCTCGGTGGCGCTGACAGCGCCCTCAGAAGCGTCGATGACACAGTCATCGAACACCCTATCTGGATCCGGTCTAGATAAACTTTAAGAGGTGCCCCTCAAGCACATCTCTGGGACATGCTGAAAACATTATGTAATGCTCCACGGGATGCTCGCGGGTGATGCTCGCGCGGGTTCGGCGCAATTTGACGATGCTCCGAAAAATGCTCGCGCGGGCTCGGCGCAATTTGACGATGCTCCGAAGAATGCTCGCGCGGTTTTCGCGTTCGTTCGGTTACGGGC